GGGAGTATTTTACGTAGGATACTAAAAGCTGGCAAGAAATTATATTTTCTCCGCGCTATGTATAAACGAAAGCTTTAAGTAATTTACAGCGTGGGGCATAAACTTTGTCCACCTGGAATACTTCCGTTATTCGTGGTAATATGGGAAAAAATTTATACAAAATTTTCATGATCTGAAGAGAGACATAGTGCGATGTAAATATTTTTTACTTGGATGGGAGTGTAGAGGAAGTTTCAAAGTCGTCTCTTTTTTTTTTAATGGATTGCTATACTTTTTATCAACGCTGCTGTGGCGACTTGAATATGCTATCATTGAAGATCACCGATGATCGTGAAACAATTATTTTCGAATGTAGAACAAAGGATACGTCTTATGTAATAACAATACGTCTGTAATTCGTTGACTCTTACTTTTATGCAAACAAATCATTCTTGCCGCAATATTCACGTTCTGATAATACATTTCGTACAGCTGCGAACTTAAACAGTGTGGCAATTTGCGACATTGCGTGGAATATTGGTAGTCGGTATCGATGGATTGCCGTGTCAACTATAGCAGTGATAATCAAGATGAAGTTTCCGTTTGGAGAACAAATGGATATGATCCTCGTTTATGGGGAAACCCGTGGAAATCTACTTAAATGCACTCAAAAATGTTGTCTATCAAGAAACAGCGACTATATCAAGAGATATGAGACAACGGATTACTGCAGCATGTGCTGGAATAAGTTCGGAGGCGATAAGACTCACGAAGATTGCCACTTTGCATCGACACAAATGGCCAACACTTTGAACATCTTCTGTAATGTAAGAAAATTTATGTTACCACCAGATTCGACCTGAAATGACCTTTAGTGAAATCGACACGATAAAAAAAATAGAGATGATCTTGAAATGCAAAAAGTATTTACGTTAAATTATGTTCGCCCTCGGATCGTGCAAGTTTTGCATATAACATTTTTCCATATTATTACGAATAATGGAAATATTCAAGGTGGACAATGTTTTGGGGCAAGTTTTGAAAATCTGCTTAAAATGTATTTCGATATTAGAACGAACCGATCCTCTTACAAGTACCAATCAGAAAGGCGCTACCATTTCAGGTTTCATTAAACACGTGAAAATGCACAGAAGACAAGAAAAATGATTTTAAGGGAATGAAGAATTTCTGGTAAGGTGCTCATCAAGTTTCGAATTGATTCGACCAGTGTTCGATTCTATTTGGAAATACTTTTTCTATTTCGGGAAGTACTTATAGAGGGTTCGAAATTTCTTTCGATATATTTGAACCCATCGCTAAAAAAATGTCATGTGACATAATTAAAGAATATTGGACGTTGCTTGTCACTTATGCAGGGTGTCCCGTAACTCCTCGAAGTTGGAATACTGGGGTGACTCTGAACAATTGTTTCCTTTACCAAAATGTTGTTTGAAGCTTCATTTTTGAATTATTTGTAACTCCTCGAAGTTGGAATACTGGGGTGACTCTGAACAATTTTTTCCTTTACCAAAATGTTGTTTGAAGCTTCATTTTTGAATTATTAACGAAAAACACTGGCCAATCAGAGCGCGCGCAGAGCCCGCGCCCAGGCACGGGAGCGCAGGGTCTCATCCGCGCGCGATCGTGAACAAATGCGTACGCGTGACTTCTCGGTTATCGATCGCTGTCAAAAAATGTTCACTTTGCACCGCTATTTTTATAAGGCTTAGAGAAATGGTTTTCTGCCGTCATTCCCACGATTGTATAAATTTTTGAAAAAATTGCAATTAGTCGGAATCGCGCGCGAATGAGCCTCTGTTCTCCGTCCCCGAGTTAATAATTCAAAAATGAAGCTTCAAACAACATTTTGGTAAAGGAAACAGTTGTTCAGAATCACCCCCGTAACCCTGCATTTCCGGGTGTTACAGGAGTTACGGAACACCCTGTATACATTTTTCTGTATCGGTGCACCTGAAGTTTGTGTACCCCTTTCAACCCTCCGTAGGCAATCTTTGACGACCCAAGTGAAATTTGACTCCCGTATTTCTTCGAAACAAATTTTTATTATTACTGCAAATGTTTTAAACATTTGACTGAACGAACAATTGCATAACGAAGTAGAGACTTTGCTAAGTACTCTAAATTTTTTTAGATTTTTCAAAAGCTCTAAATAGTAAAATAATTAGACTTGGACACAAACTATCCAGTTTGCCTACGGAGTGTGAAGAAATATTAGGACATCCCATAAGTTCGCGTCGAACTTTATAATTTAGATAGATGTTTTCAACAAAACTTTGAGTTTGATAAAAAAAGGAAACGTAAACGACTTCTCGTTCCACAACTTTCTCTTATGTCTTTTTGGTAAGACCATTATGTCGTCGCTATAGAATTTCGCTTTTGGAACGAACTTATGGGATGACCTAATATGTTTGCCTACAGAGGCTTAATGAACGAAAGTTATAATCGTTTCCCTCTGAAGAAGAAAGAAAATTTCTTAAAACTATCACTACAAATCAAACTGTTTCTCGTGAAAAATGTATTACTGATACAATCTGTGCACATTTAAACAATCCTTATAAAAAATTTGGCTTAATTTAGCTAAATGGTATTTCCTTGCTACTGTAAAGTTATCAATAATGGAACTGACCCTGGACTTACACCGAGCCCTTTAATTAAAAAGAATTAAACGTTGCTTATCACTTGTGTACTTCTGCATCGGTGCATTTGAAGCAATAAAATCACGATTTATCCATCCATTTAATATTTTTAACAGATTCATGACCAAAGTGTGTATTATCGTTAACCCTTTGGGGTCATTATAGATCATAAATAAAAATTATAGATTATAGACTAAAAACGATAATAAAATTGTAGATTACAGATTATGATTATAATCTAAATTAAACGATTATAAACGATAATAAACCATTTTTTAATACACCAATATTATACCGAAACTGAATATTTTCTAACTAATATTACGCTGAAATATTGAAATAAAGACAAACTACACGGTACCCTCCAACAATGTCTAAATAAGTGCGGACTAACTGGACTATTCTGGCCGCAAAGGGTCAATACTTAATTTTTCAGTATGAAATCTAAAAATGTGACGATCTACCGTTGGATCACACCATCCACTCGATCTTTTTTGCCCTCGTTTTGAACGACCCATCGATGCCCCAAACAAGAGCATCGTCACACCGTCCTGAACGTGTTAACGAACGAAAGTTGCAATCGTTTCCCAATAGACACACACTGTTTCCGAACAATCGCTCGGGAAACCTTGTGTCAAAATGATCGGTAAAAAGAGCAACCGAGAATGGAGAGCAGCGTTTGGCCGAAAGGGAAGAATTGGAATAGAGCAACGAGATAGGATTGAAGAAAGAAAAACAAAGGAGCGAGAACGAAGGTTGGCAGGAGAAGTAGCGGGAACGTACGCATAGAGAAGTGTGCGCCAGGCGCGTATTCAGTTACGTCCGGTGCGTCGCGCCGTTGAGACGTATTGTTAGGGCGATAAGTTTCGTCTGCGCGCGTCACACGATGAGCTTCCACGCGCGTTCTCGCTGTCGCTGCGGTATTTTACGAAGGGTACAAAATCGCCAGCCTATTTTCCCTAATCACTCGTCACCCGCAACGAGCAACTGTCGATCGACAGATTCGGTGATCAGTGAGCGTTGATCGACGAAGTTTCTCAAATTCAGTGAAAACATGACAGTTTGCGTCAGACAGTAGACGAACATGGTCGTCTCAATTCTAAGGCGGCTGAATAATAAATACAGCAGAAAATAAGGCACAAATGGATTACTGTTTTTGTGTTTATAAGAGACGACAGCGGTCAACTACGAAATTGGATTATATCGAAGGAAATAAGTCGCAGTGCCTCGATTCTTTTTTTTTTTTTTGGTCCACGACTGGATCGCTGTTGCGGAGATTTCCCAATTTTTGTGTCAAGGGGTAACGAGAATGCATCGACTTACCTCGAGCCGCCTCGTGAGTCGACCAAGTGTTATTTATAAGTAGTTCACGAGTGCTTCGTGGAGTTTTCGAAGTGTCGGCGAAACAATGAAAAGTTGGACAGTCGTTCGATAAAGGAGGTTGTCGTCTGGTGAAGCTTGAAAATTCACGGTGTAACTTCCCTCCGTTATCCTCGCCGGCGCAAGTGAAATCACAGTCTTCGGCAAATTTTTATCGGCGAGTAAAAATTTGCATCGAGAGAAAAGCTACAAGTTGATTCGCACTCCGTTTGCTTTCGCGAGGAAAGGGGAATGTGAGAACGCGTTCGCGGACGTTACTCCGAATGTCAACACTCTGAACTGGAATATTGTTCGCGTTGTTGCACGTTGCCCGATGCACGTTTGATGCACTGTCGATGCAGTTCTGAGTACGTCGAGTTAAAAGGAACGTGACGACACGCCTTGTGAGAGCACGTGCATCGAGGGTAACAAGATCGTTCCGGTAATAAAGAAAGGAACACGGTCGATCGATTGTCTGGAGACCATAATCGAGCAAAATAATCTTGAACCATCTTCAAGCAGGCCGACCGTCGTCCCGTTAATATTCTCAGAATCCCTGGTGCGCGAGTTCTTTTAAAATTTCTCTTTCGCAAAAACAGGTACGAGAGATTAACAGTGTCGGACGAAATCGCGGTTTTCTTGTTTTATCAACGAACAAAAATCGTTAGAGAAAATTTCCCACTCGAGTGGCGTGATTTCTTTTCTCTTTTCTTTCGAACGCGGCATTGTTGAGTGTGGTAATTAAATCGGTGGAAATTAATGATTTAGTAGCCTGGATCGTTATGAATGTCCCATTAATCCACAAGAAATCATATCGCGATAAGCAGAGCGGCGCGGATGACAAATGCCAAGTGTAATTACGCCGTTGGTTTCATGAGGTTGTGTCGCATTGATGTTCGTAGCTCAATTGGAAACGATAATTAGTGATTCTAGCGTGAAATGTCCCGTTGTAGCGCGTGAACCGGTGCAATTTGAATGACGTTAACGGCTACCAGCACCATCGTCATGGCGTGTATTAAAGCACCGAGATCTGTCTGTGGATCGAGCGACGACATCAAGGCTGATTCGACCCGCAATGTTATACAGGTAGAGATCTGATTTCGTACACGTGTGTCCGTATCTGCTAGCATAAACTACGAATTCGGGGACTGGCGATGTGCATGGGAACGGTTGTCGAGACAAAAGACGCAATTGCAACAGTTACATACAGCACAACTTTGTTTATTCGAACGTTTCGGGCGACGAAATTATTCGGATAATAGAGATTCGCTTGATTGAGGTCAGATAATAGTTGCAAGTTCTACTGTAACATTTAACCCTTTGCACTCAGAGGTGATTTTGTTACAGGAAAGTTAGCAAATCGGGTCTTTGAAATATTTTCAAATTAACGTAAAGACAAACCATACTATTTTATTTAAATATTCAACGCATTCTCTACTTCACTATGGCAATGAAATTTATAGAGATCCCATAGATTTTCTCTCTGATTTGATCAATTATTCACCAAGTGACGATTACCTAATGTCGCTTCCCGGCCGCCACTCGATTGCAAAGGGTTAATTTTCTTTCTAATTGCTATATCGAGTCTAACGCAATTATCGAATATCTACATTTCACCCATTATCCTTTCTACCTTTATTGTTCAATTATTAACAGTTTATGTTAGTTCGGTCGAAAAGTTTTGTTCGACTTGGTCGTCTGAATTGAAATAATCGTAACTATGTCAAGAGTTAAGATTTTTGTTCAAAATAAGAATCGTTACGGTCGATACACCTTTGCCAACGTTTCGCTAATTCGTTTATGCCATCTACAAGTCATAGGTAGGACAAGGGAAATGGACAAGTGAGTTCCGCACGAGCTGTCGCATAATTAATCAGCGAACGCCTCGCGCCTCCATTTGCTCTTCCCATATTTTGCGGAACATTAGGGACGCAATTTTCTTCACAGACTTGTTGCTTACGACGAAGATTGGGCATTTTATGACAATCGGAAAAGATCTGGACAGTGGTTGGATCTTAAGGAACCATTTAGACACTTTTCGAAACCTGAAGCACATCTGGAAAAAATAATGCTAGCTGTTTGGTGGTCTATTGACGCAATTGTTCGGCACAGTTTGTTGAGAAAGAAAGAAACAATTACGGATGACAAGTACTGCAGCGAACTTAGCGGATGAATCAAAAACTGTCCGCTATCCGTCCAGCACTAGTCAACAGAAGAGATCTAACTCTTTTGTATGATAACGCTCGAGTACAAAAGTTAAACGACCTGAGATACGAGACTCTACAACATCCACTCTGTTCTCTGGACCTTTCATCAACAGATTATCATCTGTTCAAACATTTTGACCACTTTGTCGAAGAGAAAGTATTAGGTCATCCCATAAGTTCGTTCCAAAAGCGACAAATGTTTTAATAAAAGTCCAAGAAAATCCTGTGCTTCCTGAAAAAAAAAAATAAATTCTTGTTTATCAAATTTGAAGTTTCGTTGAAAATGTTGGTCTAAGTTACAAAATTCGACAGGAACCTATGGGACGACCTAATATTTCGAAGTGAACGCTCTGTGGAACAGGTCTTCCGTGGACTTTGTTGATTCCAGACCTCGTGGTTCTATTGTAGATGGCATAAATAAATTAATGAAACGTTGGCAAATGTGTATCGATTACAATGGTTCTTATTTTGAATAAATGTGTTAACTTTTGGCGGAGTTATGATTTTTTCAATTTGGACGACGAAATGCGACAGAATTTTCCGAACGACCTAATAAACTTAGGTATTTCAAAAGCTTCTTGTGATGCAGAAAAAATACCAGCTTCTATAGTAACCATTTATGACAAAGTGTGTCAGGAAGAACTTGTTCTATGCAATAGTACGAGCGAAAACTATGACTGACAATTTCCATCAAGAAGATGATTCTCTTTTCAAGCTTTCAAGGTCATCGGCCTTCTCGCAAAGCAATGGTATATTTCTTTCAGTTGAAATGAAATTGACAAAGTTAAAACATTCGCCAAGAAATCTGCTGCATTTAGATAGCAATAAAAAAAGTAAAAGTTACAGTTGAATTTTTCAATTTTCTTGGTATGGTGCGATGGACTGTGTTTTCTATTGAGAGAAACGTTTCTGCAACTGATGGAGGTTCTTCAATTTCCGGAGGCTCTTCAAAATTTCTAGTACGCTTTTTTCTTTTGCATAGAAAATTAAGCGAGCTTGATTATTTCCAATGATAATTAATTCTTGTTCGATATCAAACGTATATTAATCAAAGTGTGTAGGTACTTGTTAGGATTACTTGAATTTATTTGAATATTTTGTTTACGAAAGAAATCTTGAAACAGTAGATATGGCATAAATTTATTTATATTTATATTATGGAATACAAGATTTTTGTCTTATAGATTAAGTGCATTTCGTTCCACTTAAGAGTACCAACTTGGTAAATTTTTAGAATTTTGAGTGTATGAGAAAGTATAGAAAAAAGTTTGACTCTTTTAACCCTTTAATTCGGAACGCCTGTTTAATAGTTTTTAAATTCAAGGGAATTTACGATAAAATGTGTAGATTTTCAAATAAAAAGGTATACGATAAAATTTGATGTATTTCATAAGTATCGTTAAAAAAAAAAACTAATCAAACTTGTCGCTAACGACCTAAGTAAATAGATGTCGATGAGACATGAAGCACAAATATTAAAAAAAAGAACAAAATTCTCATTAACCGTTTTGTTACGTTCGAAGTGCACCTGTGCGTTTAAAAAAACTTGCTGTAAGAAATTATTTCGTCAAATGCAATAGATGCACCAATCTTCCGTAATGATCAAAATATTTTCAGGTAGTGAAGGATTTAATACTTTCAGACCTAACAAATTAATACATAAATACACGTACTCTTTGTAATCATTGTATTATAAGCATATTATATACTACATGTTTAATCCGAAAAGAAGTGATTTTAGATAAAAAGTATAAGTCCAAAATATGCAGTAATATTTTCTTACGCGGAACATCGTTTTCGAATAAAGCGACGTCCAAATTTTGTAAAGTGTATTCACATGAAAGTATAATGTAGAGTGCAATTATCTTAACAGAAGTTGTAAATTGTAAATTAATATAAAACACTAACATTTTTAAGTAAAATACACTTTTGTTTTGTTGCTCATTCCTTACAATCTAATATCATAAACACAAACAACAACCGAAGTAATTTATAGGTTGCGTTTACTAAAATGACACAATAAATGAGACCACTGGAAACTGCATGTCTATTCTATGAATTTTCTGTATCAATTGACACCAAATGAACCTTCATACGAAAAAATGTTACTCTACACTTTCGATATATTTTTTCATCGAGCTACAGATTCAATTCTCGTAGGATTATACTATCCGCCTTGTTATACCGATAATTATAACAACATTGAAACTTTGCTAGTAATTATATGTAATACGATTTAATATTTCACGTACCTTACGAATTAGATAACGTAACCTAACCTCACATCTTGACATCGATTCGAATATCTCGAGATCGTAAAGCTGAGCTCCAGATTAAAGTGCACTCTTTATCTGCTTCAAAGAAATGAACGAATTTCACGAAAATTTGCTCACTTGGATATCAAAATAGACAGTGCAAAAGATTTCACGTGGTTTTTCTGTAGTGAGATATTACACTCCCGTTTATAAGTACGTATTAGGACACTTACCGAATATGAAGCATACTGACATCTACTGAATTTTACTGACATCTATTGAAATGCACTGAAATCTATCAAAATCTACCAAAATCTACCGAAATCTACTAAAATCTACTTACCGAACGAGAAGCAAGGCTCTTTGTCGTTACAAGTTTAACATAAAGTTATTTAACACACGAAAGTCATTACAAAATTATTAAAATCCTAAAAAAAGTTATTCATTCTAGAATCTCGAAGTACAACGAGTACATAGTACATTTTTACTAACATATGACACTAATTTTCGCGAGGAAATGTAATTTAAATCATATAAAACTTTCCACACGAATGTAACGGGTGTTCTAATGCTTCCAAACAGCAGTGTATTTCGTCTAGAAGGACTCTCGCGTATTCTGACTAATTGTAAGAACTCGGTTCCGATGTTCATAAGACTGAGAATTGAAACCATAAACCCCGTCTATAATCTGTAAAACGACTCGCCAGGGGCTATGTAATAATGAAAATTCGAATTTGCGTGGTGACCCGAAATTATGAAGGAAGTTCATTCTACTTCTCTCTTTGCTACGCTCAAAAATAGTCCGGTGTCTCGAATGGTCCGTGGCAAAGGCGAGTGCGTTCCCGCACGCGCACGCGCGCGTATTCGTTCGTGCACACACAAGGTGGAAACGGACGCCTACGTGGTCGAACGGGTAGATGAATCGCGTATGTAAATATACGCGTTTGTCCGTAGAATACGAATGCGTGCACACGCGCACGCAGCCTCATTGGTAGTGATGAGCATTCAACACTCTCTTACAAATTCTCAAGCAATTTAATCGTTGTAGAATTTCAAATTTCTTCGATGATTGTTCGAAATCGGTGATTCTAGAAAATCCGGAAAACTGTAGGATCTTAATACACAGCTTTGATAAATGTAAAAACTTTGAAAGTCTCGGAGATCTTAGCGAGGAAGTAGCGAGGACCAAAAGGTTCCTCAATGAAAAATGATTTATTTGAACAAATACAAAATGTATTTTTTCATTTGCTTCCTCTATTACAAAGGATATTTCTTCCTATAGTTTCGATACACCCGGTATATATGTACATTGTCAGTCAAAAGAGTCTCCGTGCACCTCCTTCGAATTTATTTAGCGTTGTATAATTTCAATAGAAAAGGTAGTAAATAATTAATATTTATGTTGGTTTATTTAGGAACGTAACTTTTACTATTAGTACAAAGGCAAATGATTTGCATACATTTGTTAACAATTAAACTCATGAAAATATCTGTCTCTATTTATATTTATTTTTTATATTATTACCAACTGAGGGTAAATTATTTTTCTTAAACGTTGTGTTTCTAAATAAAATAACGTAAATATTTATTTATTATTTTCTCTGTCAAAATTATGCAGTGTAAA